CATCTGAAGGTTTTTGCAGAGCTACCTGCTTCTGAAGCTCATATTTCTGTTCTTCTAACTGTTTGATCTTCTTCAGAGCTTCATCTTCTGCTAACTTCCTTTTGTCATCTCTTTTGTTTTCCTATTAGAAAGATATTTTAGAAAAAAAATCGTATATAATCACTTGCTGGTCAGATTTTTTTAAGAATATATCACAAATTGTTTGTTATTAATAGTTAGTCAATTATTACTAAAAATCTTGGAAAGCAAAGAGAACAAAAAAAACCATGTTACATTTTAATATTAATATTGAAATGGATAACAATAAAAGTATTGTATATCAAAGCGCATTACAATTATATTTGTAACCAGTGTGTGATCGGATTACATGAGATCCAATCACTTCACAAGTCACAAATTTAATTGTAACACACTTTAATATTAGAGCATAAACCATTTTAATATTAGAGTTCAATACATTTTAATATTAATATTGAAATTGATTATATATTGATATTCAAATGGTTAACAGTTAACTTATATGTTAAAATAGATTGTACTAATATTAAAACAGATTGCACTAATATTAAAATGGATTGTACTAATTCACTAAAAAAATCATAAAAATAAGTTTTAAGACTATTTTTTATTAACTTAAAGATCGCATGTAATCCATTTTAATATGAATATTTAAATGGATTACGTATTCAAGATGGATAACAATTTTAAAGGATGTGTTAAAATGGATTACGTAATATTAAAATGGATTACAATTATTTTTGCCAGTCAAATCTGATGAACGTTAATTTGTTTTAATCTAGTAATACTAAATTTTGCTGCTCAAAATATATCATTGATTTTGAAGTCTTGTAGTATAAAATTCAATTGTTGATATTTGTATAAACAATGGTCTCTTGTTTATTAAAACATTTTATTTTCATATCAATCCTTTTAATTATTTTTATTTTTTCAATATATCAATAAAATGAAATTAAAAATTTTAAAAAAATAAGACACATTTTAATATTATTATTGAAAAAAATCAGATTTTCGTAATAAAAGAGTGAAAAAATAACAAATCAGAGATTTTGACAAATACTGATCTCGAATTATAGAAAAAAATAAAGTAATAATATTGCTAGTTAAAAAAATCGTTGTGGGACATTTGACCTACCTGCATTTTCTTCATTTGTTGCCTCATTTCATCCAAATCCGTTCTCAGCTTCTTCTCAGCCGCCATCAGCTGCACTTTGTCCCTCTGTTCCTTACTCACTCCTTTGTACATGTCCAACAAAAGCTTCATTTCTTTCTGTTCGTTCAGAGCCTTCCTAAAAATAAAAATCACTCAAAAACTAACATAATTTCGTTTCAAAAAACTGTATAATTACTTTAGTTGATTCTTCAAGTCCCTGATCATTTCGCTTTCAGCAATTTTAGCCTCTTTGGCCCTCTGAGCTTCTCTCTGATCTTTTTCCGTTTTGATTTGTTGCTCTTTCTTAATGATATTCTTCTCCTGCTTGACATCCTTTTTTTCTCCAGATCCTGACGCCTGATTCTTGTCTCCTTCAGCATTTTCTGCTGTTTGCTAAAAAAACAAAAATTATGCAATTAACAATATAACGAATCCTAACGATTTCCCCTTTTAAGGTCGAAACAAAATAATATCAATCAAATGTTGTAATATAAAATGGATTACACTCAATTGTTAAAGTGAATTACAATAATGTTTTGTAATTTGTGCAGTGATTGTAACGTATGTAATCCATTTTAATATCAATATTTAAACGGATTACATATTGTTATTAAAATGGAGAACACTCTAAAATTAAAGTGGAATATTTTTCTAACTTGGGGATCTTATGTAATCCATTTTAATATAAATATTTAAGTGGATTACATATTAATATTAAAATGGATAGCAATTTTAAAATATAGAACAAGCATAATTGACATAAGGTCAAAAATAAAATATCAGTCAAATGTTGTAATATAAAACGGATTACATTCTAAAATTAAAATGGATTACAACAATTTTTTGTAATTTGTGTAGTAATTCGAGTGTATGTAATCCATTTTAATAACAATATTTAAATGGATTACATATTAATATTAAAATGGATAACAATTTTAAAATACAGAACAAGTTAAAATATATACAAAATAAAAAATAAAGTAAAAGTAACTTACCTCTTGTTCTTCACCTTCCTTTTTCACATCCGTCACTGACTGTTCCTCTTTGACAGGAGCATTTCCTTCTTCCTTAATGTCGGCTTCTTCTTTGATATCTTCTTTTTTAATGGCCTCTTTAGATTCCTGTTGATGGGTACCCTGTTTTTGAGTAAGTTTAGTTTGCAAATCTTCTATTTCTTTTTTTAATTTTGGTAGTTCTCCATTGGCTTCCTTATATTTTCTTTTATATCTGTGCACTTCACCTGTTTAAAAAATAAAAAAAAACAACAAACCAAAATAAAAATTAATAAAAAATATTACAAAATGATAAAACAAAAAATAAAAAACAACAAAAAAAGTCAAAAATAGATATTATAGGATATTATTAAGTCTACCTTTTAATTGTTGAGTGTTATTTTGCAATGAAGTGATCAGATGTCTCATTTCTCTATTTATAGGCCCTGTTTGCTCATTGGCCGCTAGATTCTGCTCAAACTCTATCCTAAGCATTTCATATTCTTTTCTCAATTGAGCCAAGAAATCCTCTAATTGCATGACCTCTTGTCTCAATTTTTTCTGTGCTATCAGCTCATCGCTCTGTAAAAAAAAATTAAAAATAAAACTTATTAAAAAAATATTTTTTATATTTACCTCCATCATTTCTATGTTTCTTAAATGAGCATTCTTACTGGTTTGCAGCTGTTGCCTTGCTTCATCCAGCTGCGTTTTAAGCTGCATGGATTCATTGTACAGTACAGAAAATTGAGACTGGAGACACTTGTATTCAGTGGTTTCAACAATAACGCTTTCTGGTAGTTGTCTTATCTAAAAGAAAAATTTTAATTGTATTTTTTTACAGTGTTCTGCAACAAGTTCTTTTTTATAAGAACTAAAGATGCCTGACTAATGGAACACTCTATATAGCAAAAAAATATTTAAGTACATACATCCATTTTTAATTTTTCCACTTCCTTCAATGTTTCACGATGGGTTTGATGCAATTTGTCCAATTCTTGCAGCCTGTTGTTCGCCAATTCCTTGTATTCTTCCACTTCCTTCATTAGGTCTTCCAATTTAGCCTAAAAAATTAAAAAAAAAATACTTCAAAAATCTTAAGGCACCAAAAAAAAAACAAACCTGTGAAACACTGCTCTGCACCACAGGTTTCTGTTGAACACCCTTTTCAGGGTCACCGTGCAACTGATGATAGGCCTTGATTTTCTCAACCGCTTCAGCCAAGTGAGTCTCCAACTTATCGTTCCTATTTCTCACTTTTTCCAGCTCATACTGAAGATCGTCTATCTGGTTTTTTAACTCTGCTATTTCTGTCTCCTTTGCCGTTACAGAGTCCTGTAATTCAGCCACCTTCAAGCTGTTTGTGTGGTATTTTTCGTGTAATGTTGTGTGTAGTGCCTGTAGGTTTCTGTTTTCCGCTTGCAGTTGTATGTTGGTTTGGCGGATAGCTTCGTCAACGGACGGGGCATCCTCTAGAATGAGGAACGATAAACAATGATAATTTTGGCAAGGTCAAGCCCTAGATATCATTTACTTGGCCTGTACTCTAGTTTATAATAATGTTAATAATTTGTATAAAAGTGATTTTTAAATGACTTTTACATTTACTTATTGTTATTACTAATGATTAAAAAAAATAAGAAAAATATACATACGTCCCTCTAGTTCTCCTTTAAGAGCTAGAGTAATTTTCTCGTTTCTTTGCATAAGCCTGTCAAAAGCCTGAATAACTTTAGCCACGGCCCTTCTGGACACTTGAACTCTGTTGGCTAGTTTATCATTGAGTTCGTCCTTGTCCCAAGTTGAGAGCTGCATAAGAAAAGACGTAGTAGCCTCATTTTCATCTAAAAAACACTAAAATTAGTGCTTGGAGTTTTTTGAAATGTTCCTTACTTTTATTTTCAGACTCATCAGCTGTTTCTGCATCGAATCTTTGCAATAATATACGAATATCCTCGTTCAATTGGTTCCAGTAACGGTTTACCACGTTCAGCATAGCATCGTCTTGAGTTTGCCTCTTCTCAAGCTGTTCTATCCGTTGTCTCAGTTCCTGTTCTGTTCTGCATCTTTGCTCGATCCTCTAAAACAGTTTAAAATGTATTTAGAACAATTTAAAATGTCACAGCAAGTTATTATACCTGTGCGAGTTTCTTGTTTTGGAACTGAAGCACCTTGATGTCCATTTCTTCGAGAGTAGAGACAGGACCAATTAAATGGGGTTCAAAATGAATTTTCTTAATGGGGGGCAGGCCCCCAGAGGAGGTAGGCTCCTCTGCATGTCTTTTCGACATGATTTAGTGCTTACTTCAGTTTAAAATCTGGAAAAATATGAATATATTTGAATGATTATGATGGATATAACAAGGGTATAACCTAAAAAAACAAGCTGACATTAATTTTACCGAAAAATATGAATATAGCAAAAGCGAATTATGTGCTTCAAGTATTTTAAAAGACGATATAAGATGAAACAAATCTACTTACTGAATATTTGTTTAATAATTAATTTAAAAACAAAAATATTCAAAAATTCTGAAAAAACTCATACGTCATATGTCACGTATTTTCTTTGACGTTTTAAGGTGACTTTACACCGGAACTGACTTTGAAATTAATAAATTTATATTCTTAAACCTGCCTAAATTTTCATAAAAAAATATTACACAAACAAATAATAGTTAATTAACTAAACACTGATGTATATATTTTATTATTTAATATTTTTAAAACAGCAAAATAAATAATTTTGTGTGTTAAGATGTGTGAACGCGACTTAAGATTCTGCGTACAGTGTTGCCAAACGTGTTTCCCCTTATTTCTCTGAAATTTCTGCCAGTGTTTATCTGCGATTCGAGTTGGAGAAGTTGTTTTCATTCATTTCCAACTCCAGTAATCCAAAAAAACGAGTGTTTTAGTGTTTCAAATCAATTATCGACTGAAAATCTTAAGGAACCAGGTAAGAACGCCCCATTAATCGGTGTATTTTCATCAACTCCTCCAACTGCTTTCATTATTTGTATTGTTTCATCAAGACGAATCTTTCACAGACCTTCGTTTTTAATTTAAAGCAGTATTGAAAGAAAATTGATTTTATGTAATATTTTTGGTGCGCTTTACGTAATGACATTTTTCGTATAGAATTTAGAGTGCTTTGAGTTAAGGTCAAATGTTATTGTTTTTAGAACGAGCAAATTGTTAAAAAACAAGACTGACTTGATGGAATGATGCGACGACGTTGACTCGGTTGTTCGGTATTCGGTTTTTTGGTGTGTATCGGCAGCTAAATTATCGTGAAAATTTGAAGAAAACGATGGGATAGACGGCGGAAATGGTGAAAATGTCGACGAAATCGCTCAATTTCCTATAAACTTCGCCGTGTTATCGAGTAGTGTCTCTTGGCTTGCCACGTTCCTTGCCGTCGTCGCCGACTCCGCAATTCAATTCATTCATCAGCAGTCGTGCAGCCATGGCGGAACAACATCGAGGCGCAGATTACCTTGCCGTCTGCAGACTGTGCCTCTCCGATAGAACGGACTCGCTAAAATCCATCTACGACATCGCCTTAGGTCCGAACCGTCTTCCACAGAAGATTCTACAACTGTTGGCCGTCCAGGTGAGTTTTTACACGATGTTTTCCATGTTTTACAACCGTCTAAACCATCGGTTTGGAACCGTAAAGGCGAGAATCGCGCGCCCGGTCGCGGCATTATCGACATTACGCACCATGGCTGGGCCAGCGATTGGAAAATGGCTGCAGAGCGAGTCGGCCAGGCTTTGAACGGTTGGTGCACCGTTTTAGGGCGATGATACTGGTTGAAAATTAACGGATTTTGGTGTTTTGGTGTGGGTTCACGTGGGATTTTGCGAAAAAGTTGATGATTTATTATGGGAACTGGGATATTTTCAATTCAAACATGTTCCTGGCGTGTTGGAACTCGTATCTTTTTCTCCAGCTTGTGACGTAACAAAGACAGTCACTTTCGCTTGTTTTCAACATTGTTTATCATAAATTCAATAACGATGTTGATGATTAATATTATTTTGATATTGGAAAACATGAATGTATTTGATTATTTTCTTTTAAAATGGATTTACATAATAATAGAATAGATTTTGAAACTTAATGATCAAAAACGTGTAATTTTTCTTTGTTCGTCATTATTTATAGTTAATTCAGAGTAAATGAGGATACTGGGCTTTAATATTGGTTTAATTATGGAAGAAATTAATGAATTAACTGATTATTTCTTTTATAAATTAGGGTAAATTACTTTAAATGTAATTGAATAGTTTTTGGGACTTAATGATCAAAAATTTGTGATTTTTCTTTGTTTTCATCATTATTTATTATTAATTCGAAGTAAATAAGGATGCTGGTGTTTAACATTGTTTTGATTTTAGAAGGAATGAATGAACTATTTGATTATTTCTTTTACAAATTTGGTCGAAAACTCGGGTGAATAGCTTTAAATGTAATAAAATAGTTTTTGAAGCTTAGTTATCAAAAACCTGTAATTTTTCTTTGTTTTTATCATTATTTCCAATCAATTCAAAGTAAATAATGATGGAGGTTAAACCGAGTGCTTTCATTTTGGAAGAAATTAAGTGAATTAAAATTAACAGCAGTTTTTTTGGAAACTGAATGATCCATGTGAATTTCTTTTGTTGAATCTACTGTATCAATGATATTTTTATTAATATTCGTTTGTTTTGGGAGAAAAAAGGATTATAAATGGATGGAAGAAGTGAATGATAAAAATGGCGTTAATTATTTTCTTTCTAAAATGAATTGAATTGTTTTTTAGAATTAATGTTTTAATAAAAAAAAATTGAAATCCCAATAGCACATAAATTTCTATTCTCAAATGTGCTTTAACAAAGATGTTTAAGCTTCTTTTTAATCTAAAATTCCACTTAATGTCTATCGTTAATTTTGATTTTCTTCATTGCCAAGTTGCAAAAACTGTTTTAGCAAACGTTTGAAACGTTATTTTACAAAAAGCGTGTCCATTGAGTGGAATCATTGTTTTGTATCTCATTTTTCTAGAAATAAAAATTAATATTTAATTTTTAAAGAGAAGACACAAAAATAATTCGGATAAGGCAGGTTTTGTTGGAGTATAATGTATATTGCGAGTTTTGCTACAGCTACATATTTGCATCCTAACTTGATTTTTTAGATATGCTATTTTATTAAAATTGGGTAAGAATAAGACACCAGTAGTAATATTATTCTTTGATTTGCAATAATAATGACAACAAAAAGGGAATATAAGTGTTTAAGACGGATTTTGCTGCAGTAACGTAATTTGTAGTGAATTTTATATAGAAACTAGCGTGTACCAGCGACTTCGTTCGCGTCGAATTAATCATTTGTAATGGTGTGATGATAAAGCAAAGCAAGAATTTCCATTAACATACAAACTGGATAAAATTTTCTCACATTTATGTCAGCATGAGAAAAAACAATATGGCGATATTATTATATAACTTGGTAATATTTGAGGGGTAGTTTCATCCCGTTGGAATTTGACTTTCGAAAAATCCGTTTGTCAAAAATAAGCTTTTTACGTCAAGCAATTTAATCAGAATCGTGGTTAAGAAATTACCCAACTTTTTGGAACAGCCCGTATGATTTTTTAAAAAATTTCAAAATATGTAAAAAAACAAATAAATTATGCTTGTCCAAGCATTTTCCCAAAAGACTAACCGTTTTTTAAATAACAAATATTGTAATATTTGAGGGGCGTTTTCACCCTCTTGCAATTTGAGATTCGAGAAACCCTTCCTTATCGAACCTCCTTATACACCCCACAGTCAATCCGTTTGCCAAAAATCAGCTTTAAACGTCAAGCAGTTTAAGCAGAATCGTGATTACTCATTGGTCATATTTTATGAAACACCCTGTATAAATTTATAAAAAATCTTAAAATATGTAAAACAACAAAATAAAATATACGTGTTTAAGAGTTTTTCCGAAAAACTCACCGTTTTTTAAATAAAAAATATTTTAATATTTGAGGGATAGTTTCACCCCCTTAGAATTCGAGTTTCGAAAAATCCCTTCTTATCGAACCTCTACACCCTAAAGTCAATCTGTTTTCCAAAAATCAGCTTTTTACGTCAAGCGCTTTAAGCAGGATCGTGATTAATCATTGACCAGATTTTTCGAAACACCCTGTATACATTTTTAAAAAATCTTAAAATATGTAAAAAAACAAAATAAAATATACGTGTTTAAGCGTTTTTTCGGAAACTTGGCCGTTTTTTAAATAAAAAATATTGTAATATTTGAGGGGTGGTTTCACCCTTTTGGAACTGGAATTTCGAAAAATCCCTTCTTATCGAACCTCTAAACCTTAGAATCAATCTGTATGCCAAAATTGAGTTTCTTACGTTGAGTGGTTTGAGCAGGATCGTGATTAATCAGTATGTCAGTAAATTAAGGATTTTTTTAGTATAGATAGGCGACTTTTGCTGAAGTTTAGGACTATGTTTATGTAGATTTCAGGGGAATGGATTTGAGTTTAAGGATACTAAAAATATTTTTGGTTTGGGACTTATTTATTTATTTTTTATTGTCTAAAATTAATAAATTATTATTGATTTAATGGACAACAGGTGGATTTTAATGGAAAACGATGACATATTTTTGATATTTTCCGATTTTCAGTAAATGAAAAAGGTAGTTCCGAGGGTAGTTCTATTGTGAAATTCAAACTGAGGCACCTACTATAATTAAACGAAGTTATTAGTAGAATAATTATACTTTCAGGTACAAAAGAAAAAATATAATGAAGGGAGTTATAAAATATATCCCATTAAGTAGTTTTTGGGTTATACCGTACAATAACAAAATTGTAGGTAGTTCATTAAAGTATTTTTATTGTTGTTTATTGATTATATACCTGTAAGGAATTTTGGTTATATAGAGTAATAATAAAACTTCATTTATTTATTTATTTATTTATTAGATCTTAAATCATAAATTATCTTAATTATCTCACTGTTATTTAAATTGCAGTGTGCGAGTGCAACATTTGCCCTTGATCTGATATTGTTTTCAAAACTGTGTTGCCAGGTCTTTCTCTATTTCCTGAATTTAGTGATAGTGTTTTTTTTATTATTTTGGTTTCATTTCTTTTGGGAATCTGTTTGAATAATGCTGTGATTTTTGTAAGTTGTATTTTTTGTTTGTTTATATCAATTTTTTATTCCTATTTGATCCTAGTATTATTAGTGGGGCTTATTTTGAAAAATTATCTTTTCTAATAGGTTAACAAGCTAGACAAGATATCGACGCTCATTTGCAATGATTGCATCATTAGACTGGATACCTTTCACGCATATAAGCGGGAATGCCACAGAAACCAGACAAAATTGGCAGAATGGTTGAACAAAAACGCCGGTTGCAATTCAAATGAAATGGTAAGTAAGGTCTAAATAGTCTAAATCAAACAGGGTTAGCGAAAATTAAACGCGAACATTTTTTTTTATTTAAACTAGTTATTATTATTAACTTATTTTATTATTTGGATAGAAATGCATAGAACTTATTTACAGTTAAATTCCTATCCTAAATAGCTAAATCTTCGTAACTTTTCTCGATACCGATAACATTATAAAAAAACAAATTCAAATTTTTTAAATGGTAGACAATACATTATTATTTTATTATTATCAATATCATGACTCATACTATATTCCTTGATATTTTATTTCTGTTGTCATTAATAGTGGCTGCCATTTTACAGAGTTTTCCCATCAAACCGGAACCGGATGATTTCGAGTTCAACGAAGTGGGCCTGGTGAACGGAAATCACGTGAGCTGGCCCGTCAAAATCGAAGTAGACGTGGACGAAGACATGGACGAAGAATACAACGATCTACCACCTCACCTCCTTCCTAACAGTTTCGACAACCACGGCGAGCCATTCGTGGTTAATTCACCCACTGGAAACTATTCAGAAGGTAAAATATCTCTTAAAAACTGCGTCTGTGATTGAATCTGTAGAGTTTTTAAAAATATCGATATCGATTTTTTTTCTAAATCTCGATATCGACATTTTGCAACTATCGATATTTTAAATTTTCGATACGTCTGCACGATATTTTGTCGATATCGATATATTATAAAAATATCGATACCGACATTTTGCGGTATTTTTAATTTTCGATATATTTGTACGATATTTTGTCGAAGTCGATATCTAACAAATATCGATACCGTCATTTTGCAACTATCGATATTTTATGTTTCTATACTTTTATCGATATCGATATTATATAAATATCGATACGGACATTTTGCGATACTCGGTATTTTTAATTTTTGATATATTTGTACGATATTTTGTCAAAGTCGATATTTAATAAACATCGACACCGCCATTTTGCATCTATCGATATTTTAACTTTCAATACTTTTGTCGATTATCGATATTTTATAAACACCGTTACCGACGTTTTGTAACACTCGGTATTTTTAATTTTCAATATTTTTGTACATTTTGTCGATATCGATATTTTAAATATCGTTACCGCCGTTTTGCTACTATCGATATTTTAACTTTTGCTACTTTTGTTGATATCGATATTTTATAAATATCGTTACTGACATGTTGCAGCTATCGATATTTTTAAACTTCGATACTATTGCACGATATTCTTTCGATATCGATATTTCTCTAGACTAATATATCTAGACTCTTTAAATATTTTATAAATAGCGATATCGACATTTTATTAACATCGATTTTTCAAAAATTTGAAGTTTTAACACGATATTTTACAAATAGCAATATCGACATTTTTTAAGTACCAGTATCGATAATTTATGAATATCGATATCGACTTTTTGCAACCATCGAGATTTTTAAAATTTTGATACTTCTGCACAATAGTTTGTTATCGATATCGACGCTTTATAAATGTCGATACTTTTGCACATCCCTTTTGTCATACAATGGAGGTAAGTGAATTTTTTGTCGTTGACAGAAGAAACAAGATGTCCGGATTGCGGCCGACTGTTCGGCACAATTCAGAACATGAGGAGGCATCAGAACGTGCTCCATCGCAAGGATAAAAGAACGCCAATGAACGAAATTAAGAAAGCCAGCGACCCCGTGGCCGTGACAGATCAACCCAAAGATCTGTCAGCTGAAACCGAGAAGGACATAGCAATAGAAAACACCTCTGTTGTCCCTTCTCTTGATACTTCTGGCGAAGTACCACCTGAAAATAATGACAGCTCCTTGAATATGTCTGAAGAGAACACTGGTAAGTATATTTCAGGGGTTAAAAAATGTGTTTTTTTTTAATTTTAGAGACAAATTTTATATATTTTTATTATCAAATTTTTTTATTTAGTTTCAGAAGTAAATAACACCGAAGAAACGGAAAAATGTCAAGAAGAACAACAAGAACAGACTGAAGATGAACCCAAAAATCCTGAAGAAACAGAACCCGAAAAAACTCAAGAAGAACCAACCGAAAACACTCCAGAAAGTGACCAACAAAAAATCCAGTTCGCCGCCGGCTTAAAACTGGTTCAAAAAGACTCCACCCCCATAGAATGCGAACCTTTATCCAAAATCGAGTTGAGCTACATTGACAAATGTAAGGCTATGGTTTCAATGTTCCACACTCTTCAATGCGCCTGCCACAATGTCCAGCACAAAACCTCAAGAAACCTTCACTCTCACCTTCGAGAGCTACGCATCTGGTTTCCTCTTTTCACTTGCTACAACTGTATGATTTCTTTCACTGACCGATCAACGTTCACCAAACACCACACCAAATGCACCAGAACTCAATTCGAGACCTTGATCAAGCTGTCAAACCTCAAAAAAAGAAGCGAAGTCAAGACCAGGCTGTACGAAAACTACAAATGTAACCGTTGTCGCTTTTTGTACAGTTTCTACGAAGATTTTTGCAAACATATAGAAGAAGATCATGCGTCTGGTTCGCCTCCATTTTACTGTTCATGCCGATACGTTTTTGACACTTTGGAAGAATACAGGAACCACTGTTACAACTCTTGCATCCTTTCATACTATTGTGACATATGTTTCATCACTACCACCACGCAGGAAGAGTTTGTGAAACACTGTCAAGAACTCCACGACTCTTCAGAAGGTTTTGTACTTCTTCAAGAGGACGGATACAGTCCTAGAAAGCCATTCTCCCACCACAAGGAAGTTGATACTGAAGCAAACGTAGTTGAAGGAAAAAGGGAGAGAAAAAAATCGGTGAAACCCCCGATTTTAGTGCAGATATACGACTCGGAGATCCCTCCGGAACCGCTAGACATGGCGCCGAAAACAGTGTTCAAGAAGATGCTAAACGAAGCTGTGAAATTTAACCCGACCTGGAAAAACCCATCCGAGTGTCCTTTGTGTCACAAAGTGTACGCGAGCATCCATAACATGGCGAGACATTACAAAACTCACCTGGAGAAAAACGAAGTTCCTATGCCAGTTCAAGCGAGAGAAGAAGACGATTCGTTGTACAGCTGTCCGGATTGTGGAGGAATGTACCCCACAGCTAAATGGGCTAAACATTTGGAAGAAAAACATCCGCCCAAACCTTGCGGAGATTGCGACAAGATGTTCCAGTTCCAAGGCGAATTAGAGCAACACCGCAGCGTTCACTTGAACCTGAAAATTCACAGAGACTCCAAAACACATTCCTACAAGTCCACCATGCTGAGTCCTGTGGGTGAAGTTAATGGTTTATTGGGTGAGGTGATGGTTATGTGCGAACTCTGTGACACGATGTTTAAGAGTAAGGAAGAGTTGAAGAACCACAAGCTGGTTTGCGAAGATAGATCTAACAAGTCTCAGTCGGGAAGTTCGTTGAAAGATGACGGAGATACTATGGATATTGAAGGAATGCCTGTTCTTGAAACCGTCGAAAAGACAGAGGAGAAAAAGGACGACGGATTCGTCTGTACTTCCTGCCAGAAAGTGTACCTTAGCGTGAAAACTTTGAAAGAGCACATGAAGAACAAACACGGAATTTTGTACAAGAGAAAAAACGATTTCCCGAAAAAGTGCCAGTACTGCGACAGGATGTGCACTACCGGAGCAGCTCTGTACCTCCACACCCAAATGCACGAGCGCATGACCTTAAACGACTTGAAATCAGACAAATCTGCCATAGCCAAAGCAAAAAAGAAAGCCTCATTAGAGAAAGAAGCTGATCCTGATGAGGAAGGAGGGTCTTACCACACTTGCAAGAGGTGTTTCAAAGTATTCGCAACCAAAGGAAAATTACGGGACCACATGAAATGTCACGGTGTAAATCCAGCCAAGAAACCATCGAAAAAAATCACCTGCAACATCTGCCATGTTTGTCTGGATAACGCTGATGAATTGGAGAAGCATAAGTCATCAGAACATTCTGAAGGATTGGACGGTATGCCTCAGCTGGTAAACGAGATGGAGGTTGATCAAAAAGACGACGATAAAGAAGAGAAAAATACGACTGAAGTTACCAAGATCAAAAACACAAATCTGTGTAAATACTGTAAGGTTACTTTCGATAATTTTGCTGAGTTTGCGCAACACATGCACGAGGAACATGACGAAACTGCTAAACCTAAGGTTAGTAGAATCAAACGAAAAGACTTGGGAGATAGGAGGTATAAATGTGGCATTTGCAAGAAAGCTTTTGTAACTGTCTTAGCCCTAAACTCCCACGCGGGCTGGCACAAACGCATTTTCGCTAAAAAGAGACTACTAAGTCAATCAGCTCCGGAAACTAACACGGCCCACGGTGTGATAGCTTCAAAAATCGTCAGACAGTCCAAAGTTTTTAAGAAGAAAATCACTCCCAAACCTCAGCAACAACAACCTGCGCAACAAGCTTCCAAATTCCAATGCAGTACGTGTTCTGCGCAGCTACCCAACGACACGGCACTTCAAATCCATATCCTGGAAAAACACAGGAGTATGGATGAGGTTATGTTAGTCCCGAGATGCGAGACGTGCAATCAGGATTTCGCCACTCAAAATGAATACGAAATGCACCAAAGATTTCATGACTTTCTCGAGCGACAGAAGAAAAATAGCCAGCAGGTTATCATTAAAAAATATCCCTGTGAACATTGCAGTTCTGGATTCAGTAGAATTGACACTCTTCATACTCATATAAGACAGCATCATCCAGAACACGCTAAAGTAGAGTTTAAATGTACCCAGTGTGATAGAGTTTTCGAAAAACAAAACTCTCTAACCATTCACTTGAAAGTTCACGAAAAACAGAAGGCTGCTTTGACGAACGGGGGTAGTTCTAGTACTAGTACTTCTTCTGGTAGTACGGGAAAAGTATTTTCGTGTTCGATCTGTAGTATGGTCTTCAGTTATGCCAAGGATCTGCGAACGCACACGATCAACGCGCATCCGTTTTGACGTAGCGTTACCAGCGGAGACGCGACTTTAGATTGAGAGCGCGCGTGTGATTTACAGGGATAGTGATGATACAGGGTGTGTCAAAAAATAGCGACCGTGTCTTAGAGATTCGTGTTTTGAGTCACTTGTTTCCATTATAAATTTAAAACCCGAAAATACATGTTAAATGCCAATTTTCGATGTGCGTCTTAAGCTTATTGGGACAAAAATATATATACAGGGTGTTTCTAAAATAAACCGAAATATAAATCCAATTTTAATCTTAATTTTTATGACTAATTATGACATTATTGGGATCTTATTGAAAATTAAGAATGTAGGTTAGTCCTTAACCGCTACACTGAATAATTATCCTTAAGGGTTATGCACGAAGTGGCAACGTTGCGTGACTTTGATATACAGACAAGGAAAGAGCAGTTTTAAAAAGTTTTGTAAAATAAGTAAGTAGTAAATAGTTTTGTAAAAAATTTCTCTCGTCTACCAATCTCGTCTACCAGTAGTGGACTATTTTTATTAAAATAAAAATAGTTTTTGGGTACCTAGGTCGACTCAGCCTTAAATGAGTACTTGGGATTCACAATCCTGAGGTAATAATAGGCGGTTGAAGCGTAGTGCTAGCCACATTACCTTCCTTGTATACCGAACGGCTCTAGTATGGCAAGCTGTACCTTGTTACTCCCAAGGCGTTAACCGCTATATACGGGAGCTATTATTATTATTATTAAATTAAAAAAAACATACGATATTTTTGAACTTTATAAAAATTTACACTACAGCTAAATTACTAGGTAACATATTTGTACCTATTTGTGAAACATCCTGTATTATAAAAAAAAATGACACAGTTCTTTTTTATTTATTATTTTATTGTTTTGCTTTTTCGTTGATATTTTACTTGGTTTTTTTTATTATTAATATGTTACCATTTTTTACTGATGTTTTTTAATATTATTTTACTTATCTTTTTCCAGTACTTTTTAATATTCATTTACTCTATAGTATTTTTACTTGTTAATTTTAAAACACACGAAAAGAACAAAAACGGGGGGTTTTAAATTTATTTTGGATTTTTTGTAAATATTTGGAGAAAAATATACTAAATGTGTCTATGTGCCATTGAGAAATTTAAAATTCTATCAACGTTTGAAGAGAGTAAACTTATAAAAATCCTCAGTATATCTGATCTAAAAAATATTCCTTCCTATGTATAGACTAGATTTTTTAAATTCCCAAAATAATATTTAGGCAATTGACTCTGAAAAAAACACATTAAAATTAACTTTTTTCTCTACTCATAGATGACGCTAGTTACCACATAGATAATGTCATATAATTCCGGTACTTTCGTACCACCCTGTATACTTAAAGAAAACAAATCTGTTGACAGGTGTTTTGTAAATATACATAAAAAGTGTGAGGATATTTAGAGAATATCTATTTGTAAATATTTATTACTATTAATGTTTTTTTTGTATTATTATTTTGTTATTTTTTTTTGTATTATTAGTACGTTAAATTTAGAAATTTTCCTTTATTTTCCCAAATCTACAAAATGACGAAAGGAACAATTATTTTTACCATTTACAAAGAAGTTTTTTTTCTATAAGGAGTGTTAAAAATATATTATTTCCTTGGGTCATGAAATTTCTATGATCTATAGATGTACCACTACGCCTAATATATATTTTTTTAAATTACATATCTTAAGACTATTTAATATTTTTCTAGTTATTTATATTTGTTATAATTTTTGTTTGAAGACTTTTTTCCATTATTTAATATGAATTCTAGAAAGAAAATAAAAGCAGAGTTCTAAAATTTAAATGAATTTTTATTTATAATAAATATAGTGTGTCCCAATATTCCATGGACATAGAACTACTACGTATTTTTGAAATCAAAATAAGGCCATTGGATACAATTTATCCCTATATAAAAGTGCTTTGTTTGTCCGCTAGAGGTCCACATATTTTTTTAGATATTTAAAAAACCGTTATTCCGATTTGAATGGGATTTTGAGTGTCTATGTTTAGCTAAGTGCTTTAACATTTAACTTTCAGAGAAATCCAGAAGAAGTACGGAAGACGCGACAAAAAAACATTTTTTTGGAAGTCAGTTTAGAAAAAATATGCAATTTTATGGAAACTATTATAACTACATCCTGTATAGTAAGGTTTTGTATACAAACTAGTCATCAATCATCAGGACTAAATCAGAGATCAGCTGATTGTAACCATGTTGTTTTTCCATTAACTGAACTTAACCTAATTTTCTGAACTGCTTGAAAAATGCATACCTCTAAAAACCCGCTAGCCACTAAATAATATTTTTTTCCCGCTAAACTGAAAAATAAATCGCTAAACCTAACGGGAAAACCGCTAAGTTGGCAACAGTGCAAGCAACTGTTATATTGCTTCACAAGAATTGTTCTAATGAAGAAATAAAACAAGAGAGTTTCAAAATTTAAATAAAATTTATTTATAATAAAATGGCCGTTTTACAATACATTCTAAAAATATGTAATCTTGTTGAAAGCACCAATATCTAAATGAAAAAAAATTAAAACTAAACAGTTGAGATGAATATAAAACAATTTTGTTTCGAATTTTGAACAATTATGGTCATGGGGTATAAAAAAAAACAGAAACAGTTGTTTTATACTTAAAAGACTTGAAAAAAAACTAAAAAATTATCATATAATTTCATACCGTTATTATCGAGAAAAAAGGTGAAATTAAATATATTACATAATAACTTGGATGGCATATTATTATCAGCCTTTATGAGAAAAGGGGAGGTCAAAACTACACTACAATAATATCCAAGTTTTTTGGACTTATTTTTGGAACACGTTGTATATAGGTACACAAGGAAAATTCGGAAATATATGTACAATTCAATGATTCTTTTTTGATTTGTTTCAAGCCATACTCTAACTTGAAAATTGACAATATAACAACGTATTTAATTTTTTTGGTCGTTTTTTTTGTGCTAATCTTTAAATTTTACTAATGTACGAACGAAAATTTTGTATATGACTGAATCTAGGTGATAAAACAACATTTTTTAACAATACCTATAGTCTTTCTCTAAAAATTTGGTTATTTATTGAACCAAAACAGAGATCAGCTGGTGATAGCCATATTGTTTTGCTACATAACCTTATTTTTAAACTCGCTCAAAACAAAAACATTTTAAAGCGCTTTTTAGTAATATATCACGATTTTTTTTTTGACAAAAAATGAAACATTATTGAATAACAACCTTATAAGCTTTATCCTCTTCTAACCCACTGGCACAAAATGGCTCAATCTATGAATAAATCGTAAACTATTAGAAATTAGTGTTTTTTTAGGCAGTAGTGTTGATAGCGTGAGTGATTTCGACTCCTTGAAGCAACCCTGCGTTGGCGTTGCAATCTGCTGGTGTTACCAAAGGCATGGTGGAAGCGCTAAGAAAGTTCGCTTCCTCTAGGTCTCTTTGTAGTTGGGATAGGGGAGGGCATTGTTGGACTACGGGTTGGATACTGTGAAGTACCTAAAAGATGTTTATATTTTTTATTACTTTCGAAAAATATATTTTTTTCTGTTTAGTTTTACCTCCAAAGCGCTGTCAATGGCGTCGTATTGTCTCTTGGTTTCGTTCATGGCATCTTTCAGGCTTTCAGTCAGTACTTGTTTGCTGGCTAGGAACTCTTGGTTCAATTCGTTCAGTCGTTTATCTTTGTCAGCAATTTTCTCTTTCAAAGAAGGAACCTAGAGGAGATTAAACAATCTTGAAACTTAACATGATGCTTTATTATATTATGATATTTATGGAACTGTGTATTATTACATTAAATATTTCAAGACTTGACGATGTAATATACAGATAAAAAAATGAGTGCGAATTACCTCGTTTTGTGTAACAATAAGTCTTGCCAAGACCTCCTCTGATGGAATTTCACCAGTATCACTAAAAACTCCTATTTGTCTATCAACATCTTCATCTTTCACTCTCATTTCAAGCTCAGCCTTTGACAGAGCTGTTGACAGATCACACACATCTTGATTCAACTTCTAAAATATATATTTTTTGTTGTTTAAAACACTTTTTATTATTAAAAGAATAATTTATTTACCTCTACCTCTTCTCTTTGTTTGTTCAATTCACTTTTCACTCCATCCATCTCAGTGTTTTTCCGACTCAGCTGACTCATCAACTCTTTGACTTCACTCTTGAGTCTGGCACCTAAGACTTCCCAGTCTTTCAGCTGTTTTACCACTAGTTTGTTGGTTTCTTTTTGTTTGTCAACTTGTTCTGTCAGTGAGTCTCTTTGATCTAGAAAAATCGGTAGGAAACATTACAGTGATTTAACAGTTACTGTCACTTAAAAGTTTAAACAGTAACGGTTAAGTAGCAAGGGTAACTGTTAAAGTTTTAGCAGTTACATACTGTTAAAAATTTCAACAGTTACCTACTGCCAAAAGTTAGTTTAAACTCTTTAACTAAATAGCAAGAACGCACAGTTTTGTACAAAATTCTTGCATTTTATGTGCAAAATTAGTGTTTTATAATACATTCAAGTGAATGTTTTATTTCAAAAAAACTTATTTTGTACAGTAAACTCAAAAATAACTATTTTATACCTTGTAGTTCATTCATGCAATCGTCATTCTCAATCTGAATGATCCTGATGACCTTCAATAACCTGGTGATGACGTTATCGACATCTATCACTTGATCAACTAGAGAAATAGGTGGTAAAAACTCACCTAGAAAAAAATATATTAATATTTAGTACAGGGAGTCCCCAAAAATATTTCTGTAACATACTTAAAGAGAAAATATCACTGGTTAATGACGTATTGAGACTAGTCGGTTCAGAACACTGCCTGCTCAGGTATATATTTGAAACGTCCTTCAAACTCTCGCTGTGAGTTAGCCTCGAACTCAGCATGCTGCCATGTCCTGAAGAGATCATATTGTGTGAATGACCTACAAAAAATATGTTTATAATGATTGTACAGCGTATAAAAAAGTTTATTTCAGTATCAAATAATTTTCAAGGGTTTTTTAGTATATTTTCCTTATTTAGCGTCTATGCAAAAGTTATATATGTAGAATATGCAAAAATCGATGCTGGCTGACTTAAGGATCAACAAACAGCCGAAACTGCTTGACATAGAAGTACAAAATGCAGACAGTCTCCTTAAGTGACCTAACTGAATATAAGAAGATATTGGAAACATTTACTTTTTAAAAAGTAAAAACCATACAGTGAAATAGTTAAAAGTTTTGGAAGTAACTGTTAAAAGTTGTAACAGTTACTCTTTAAAAATATAAACCATTACGAAAAAACAACAAATAACAATACAGTAAAACAGTTAAGTTTTAATAGTAACTGTTAAAAGTGTTACCAGAAACTGTTGAAACTTTTAACAGTTACTCTTTAAACAGTAAAAATTTCAGTTATAACCTATAGCAAACATTGTACAAAGTTTTATAGTGATACTATTAATTATGACATGACAGAATACTGAGAAACAACTTAACCATTATTCTTTAAACAGTAAGAATTTAACAGTTTTCTGTTAAAAGTTTTAGCAGTAACTGTTAAAACCTTTAACAGTTTACATTTAAAAAGCTAAAAATATTACAGTAAAACTGTTAAAATCTTTAACAGTTACTGTTAACAGTATCATCAGTAACGGTTAAAACTTTTAACAGTTACTCTTTAAACAGTAAAAATCTCAGTGATATCCTTTTGCTTTAGAAGCAAAAAACTCTGCACAAACTTTTATAATACTATTTTTATTAATTATAACATAATTGAGGTCATTGGAAACGTTGTTTTTCGATAAGAGCTAGTACTATTATATATACAAACCATCAGGAACCACCACGTCTTCCAGAACGTGTTCCATCATGAGGCATGGTTCAGTTTCAGAATCTAACATTTCGTTCGAACTGCTGCGGTCATACAGGCTGTCCTTTCTGCTCAAATCCTTACCGGAGGCTGCGTTTTTTATGGCATTGATCACAGCAGAAACAAACGAAGAACCTACAAAGAAAAGACTTTGAAAAATTTATATATTTTCTTTAGGAGTGAGCGTATTGCTGTTGCATATTAAGCAGCGTTTGACTAAAAAACCTAGTTATTGTAGAAACAAACCTTTTCCATTTGGAGACTGCTTGTCTTCAGTAAATATTCTGGATTTTTCTGGAGTGGACTCTACACTACTGCTACTGTTATTATATGCTTCGTTGTGATATATTACATCCTGTAATAATAAAACAAATCATTAATATCATTGACATGAAAGAATTGGAGTAGATTTATTGATATACTCACTTCTAGTTCCTGATCTGAGATATTGTAAGCTGCTACAAGTTCATCTACCAGACCACTAAGCCTTTGAATAAGGGAAGCTAAAGCTACAGAAGCTCCAGATACAGAGCTTCCTTGATGTACTAACAATTCTCTACTTTTAGCCTCTAAGTTTCCTATTCTAGCTTGCAGTCCTAATTTCTCTAAACGTCTTTGCTCACTAAGCCTAGCAAGCTGTTTACACTCTTCCTGTTGTTCGGCTAGTTCCTTATCTTTTTCTGTTAATACTTGCTGATATCTTTTTATTTCACCTTCCGCCTCTTTCAAAGCATCTGCCAAAGTCGTTTTTTCAGCTTGCATGAACTCCTGAAGCTCTATACTTTCAGCTTCAAGGTCTTGGTGTTGCTGGAGGAGAGTTTTTTGAGCTGCCAGGCTTTTTTCTAGGTCTATTTGAAAGGAACGACAGTAGTTGTTGAGTTTGGCTATTTCCTCCTCTTGTTGGATGATCACCTGACTGACGTTTTGAAACCTGTTTTCCAGCACCAGCAAACTGTCATTGGAAGAGCTCGATTCTGCAAAGAGATTAAGTTTCTGAAACTTCTTTACGCGCGCTGGGAGTAAAAATTCAAGGCCGTAACACTCAACTCATCTGTAATTCCTGTATTATTAATCCGGTAAATGATGGAGATAAACAATTGTGATTGATTAAAATTTTATTATAAGATGAAACTTTTGTTAGAATAATGACAAGACAAGTGACATCTGTCCAAAATAGACAGCGATTTAGAGTGACAATTTGGTTATGTAAAATTTAGAGTGAGAATTTTGATTATGCAAAAGAAATACTTGATAATACTTTACCTGTAGCTTCAGTATTTTCTGCTTGTCCTAATATGGCAAGTACCCTTTGAGTATTATTGTTCAGTTCTTCTCTCAAGCCTTTTTTCTCTAAAGTCTCAGCCTTAAGCCTCGATTCAGTCTCGTTCAACTTCTCAGTCTGATCCTTATGCTGACTCAGCAAACTATCGTATTTCTCAGTCAAATTCCTCAGTTGGTTTTTGAGTTTCTCCATTTCTTTCGAATGGATATCGACCTGAACCTCTTTGGTACACTGATCGATGTCTTGGGGGTCTTTCGGAGACACCATGGCACCATTCAAGGCCTTGTCTATATCACACATCGTCAAGGCCGTCTGGACGTTCATTTCGTGGTATATTTTCGTTTTGGCTTTGTTTTTCGGGACATATAACGAACTAAACATTCTGGAGGGAGTGTTCTCTTTAGAGCTCTTCTTGTTTATTGTCGTAGAAGGATTAAGAACTTTCTTTTCATCAATAACTTTGTCTTTTTCTTTTTTCCTTCTCGGTAGTGTAGCATATTTTTCTATAGTCTTACTGTCAGTATGTGATATTCTAGATTTATGTTCAGTATTGACTCTCAGAGACCTCGTCATGGCAGAAGATGTCTTACTGGACCATCTATTGTCTTCTGTAGGTGTTGCCTGGGTGGAAGTTCTACTCAAACAAGTGGGAGGCATAGATCTAGGTCCTTGAGTTTTCCTAACAGAGTCTTTCCTGTTAAGATCCAGGTTATTTGGTACAGGTTTACTCCTGGAGCTTGCAATACTTGTTCGTGAAGTTGGCGCAGTCTTACTTTGAAGCCTATCCAAGCTTTTGAGTCGGGAAGGATTACTCGACGTTCTTAGTGGTGTTGCGGGTGGTTTTGACTTGGATCTATCCCTGATTGCAGTTGTGGGTGTCTTTTTTGACTCGTTTGAGTTCAGGATTTTCTTCTTCGCTGATGATAGAGTGCTACGTCTACATCTGCTTTGGGATCCGCTCAGTGAAGAACTTTCACTGCCGTTCTCACTGGTAACGTCACCGTTTCTCAAGGTATAATCCTCCAAAAGCGTCGAATTCTTCCTGACTAAAAGATTGTAGGCTTCTTCGTAGTTAGAACAGCAAGAAATGATCGAAGAGTCGCAAGATTGAGCGCAGATATTGTCGAAATCCTGAGAAACACCGCTGTTCGAACTTAGGGCTCTTTGATACTCTATAGTTTCAGCTATTTCAACACCACTATCACTACCTTCGCACAATAACTGTTTTTTACTGTCACTAGAATTATTGAGATGTTGTTCGATCACTGTGATGTTGTTTGTGATGTTTAGGAACCCGTGAATGTTGGAGTCTGCTTCAATATCTTCGTGTTCTTCCATGGCAGGTGGAGGTAAAGCATCTTCTTTGGCTTCAGAATGTACTGTGATGTTTACAGGCTCTGGCTGAGTGTTCTCTGGAATGTCCGGGTCCATTTCCGTTTAATTGTCCGTCCTGAAATAGACGAAAGTGATATAAATATCGTTGACATATACAAAGGAATTAGATTTGCAATACGGAAACGTCTTGTATTTATATATAAATGCATAGCGGAGAGACTAAATTTATTCTAGATACAGGGGTCATTCGTTTAGAATTTGGCGCATCTGGCGGGATTTTGGGCCGGTTAAAAAATGCCCCAATCGTATTTTTAATCATATCTCTTTTTTTCAAATGGAACGATAAGGTGGCTCGTTAGCATATTTGGAAAAAGCATTTTTTACGAATAATTTGGTACCACACACTTGGTATTTCGAGTCATATGAACCGCATGTTACAATTTCAAATAAACCATATGAGAAAATGTCAAAAGTTGACATATGATATGTCATTCTATTCAGAGTGGCATTTACTATCGAATAAAGTAAAAATATACCGAGGTTGCCATTTAAAAATCAAAAGTTGTAGTCATTTCCGGTAGTCCATTCACTTTTGAGACGCACCCGGTATATATTACTTACTTTTTTAATTTTTTTTAAATTATTACAACCCCGATGTAATATTTCTTTAAAAAAGTCTGCGTATTGGTCAAGATGTAAGAATTCGACTGATTCCACCTATATTTTTTCAAAAAACGTTCTCTAACCCAATGTGAGTACATTAATATGTTGAGAGTACATTAATATATTGTCCTTTTACCCTCCTTCAAAGGTTTGCTTTGATATATTTTTTCAGTTCATTAAAAAAATCATCTGATAACAAACTATACAATGCTTATTAAATTTGCTAATAAAGTTAATGAAAATGCTTTTGAGGTATTGAGGTTAATGAATAAGCTATTTATAAAAGAGTTTACAGGAAAAATTAACCCTAATAAAAATATAACGAATGAGCTCTATCCATGAAAAGATTATTTATCCAGGTGATAGTCTGGTTAGTGTCGAAAGCCAGCCTATTTTTGGAACAGTGTTTTAATTATTCTGGATGAAGTGTGGATCAACACAATTGTGAAAAAAGGGTTAATTGACTTACTCTATTATAAACTTTCATTAATTGATTGATTGTAATTATTATACATACATGACTGCATTTTTAAATACACCGTTTTTTAGATTTGTTACCTTAACACCCTGTAGCTATAATCAAAATTTATTTTTTGTCTATTCTTAATTCTAACATTATTATGTTTTAATTGCTCAACTTGTAGTTTCCGACATCCCAATGATAAAAGGATCGAATTTTACGACACCCTGTACAATATCGGACCATAACTAGAAAAAAAACCGATCTGGTGGCATACGTCCAAGTAGTTTAATACTTTTTTTAGCTCGAATTCGACCTCAAGAGAAACTTAAATACAAACATCGAATTGACTGGACGATAATCTTGATCTTGAAGTGGGATTTATGCCCATAAAAGCAATTTTTTATAAGGCCGAAATAACCTTAGCCTACATTTCCTTTTTCTTTAATTTTTCTTTAATGACTCTATCAGTCTAGACAAGGAGAAATTAGAAAAAAAGTCCATATAAGATGCGAAAAACAGTTTTTCCTGATACCATAAATGGGTGATTCCATTTTAATTGGGCTTTTTTATGTCTTGTGCTAATTGCTGTCACTGGTGGTATCTTTTTAATTTTTGAATCAATTTTTTACACCAATATAGCTCTCGCAAACATATTTCATCACTTTTTTTGTATAGGGTGACCCAAATTCGTGTCCGGATGATCGATTATATCGGATGCTGATCAAAATATCACTTTAAAAATTTAAAAATTCCGAAGATTTCGAAAAAAAAAACAGTTTACGCGATTTTATTTTTATTTGTTTGTGACTGAAAATTTTCATATATCACTGCTTGTGAGGACCCTCTGTACAAAATTAGTTGGAATATTTTACACCATAAACAAAGATTTCAAGGTAATTAATAGAAAAAGTAACTAAAAGAACTGCAATAAAATTTCTCTATATTTAATGTTTAAATCACCTGGAGTAAAAGTATATTTTTGTTGCATAAGATCAGAATCTCAATAATGATCTTCGGACCTTCTAAAAAACCTATATATCTGAGTAAAAGATCAATAAGGCATTCTATCTCAGTGAAATGTTTCATTTGAATTTTACAGTCACTTTAAAGCCAAATTAACAACAGATGTTGTAAATTAACCCAATCATGTATTTTAACGGTCCATAGCATAGAATATTTGTAAACTATTATAAAGAGTAATCTCACTTTTTACTCGTTATAAAGAATAAAATTCCCAAGCTCACAATTTTCCTAAAAAGGACGTTTAATGAAACCTAAAACATAAACAAAGCAAAATCTGCAACGATTTAACGAGTTGGGTTGTCAAATCGAGTTTTGAACGCCGAAAACTACCATATACAGGGTGAGTTTCCTACTATGTTCTCTATGGGTATCTCGGAAACTACTGGAGATAGAGAGTCGGGTAAATGGGGAAACAATTGCAGTTTTGTGGGGTCATAAATATGCGCCTTTCAGATTTTTGAAAAACTTCATGGCTTACTATTTCGAAAAAAAAAACAAATTTCGGCTATTTTAAAATTTGTGCCTAATTCCGTTATAAACTATTTTAGACAAAAAGTTTTCAGATAAAAGTTGTAAGATAATCACATCCTTAATGAGATTGTGTCCTCCGTTTTTTTTTCTAAAGCCTGTAATTTTTGACATATGATACAAACATATGTTTTTTTTTAAATGGAAACCATAGTTGGCCACGACTTCATAAAAGGCGCCATTTTTTAAGCTTTTTGCTTTTTAGCGATATAAGCTATAATATGTTTTCTTCGAAAAATTAGAGTTATACATATATAGGCCAATTCTTCTAATTTTTAAACAATTTCACTTAGTTAGCAATGGAAACAAGTTTAATCGTCTTTGCTCTCAGAAATGTGAAGTTGTCACATCCAAACTTTGTACCTTGTTTCTCTCGTACCGCCACTTCGACTGCCTCTCTTAATTATATTTTTTTTATAAACCTTTATACATATACTGCCATTACTCGCTGACGAGTATTCGACACGCATCAAAAGATGGTCTCGCAAGGCGTTTTCTTTCATGAGCTTTTCTGTGATTGAAAAGCCCGATACGTGATGTTATTTGCCTACCGCACTCCGGAATTTACAATTCTTCTCCATTGAGTTCTATTGTGAACTGCTTCTTCCCAATGATTCTGTAACCCTTTATTGTTAACCAGGAACATTTTAATTAATAATTAACAAGGAATTTTAATTAGTAATTAACAAGGAATTGGCTATAACTCAGTAATTTTTAAACTTAAACTAAAAACTATAAAACCGTCTCTGATACTGACTTTTGTCAAAGCCCACGTCTCCCATATAATCTACAATCTCAAAAACAATTAAGAATTCATTGTCTGAAACTTTAACCGTTCTTTTTGTGACTGAGTTTCATTAAATCTATAACGATTTCTTCACTCATTCTAACAGAAATATGAAATATAAAACTGTTTGTTAGCACGTTACATCAACTAATTCTATATGTTTCTTTTGGCATAGCATTAATTCAAGCATTTTTTAAGATTTTAAGAACGTCCTCCAGTCCTCCATGTCATTTTTTTATTTGCGTTTGTTCTCAAGACAGAACGATTTATAAATAAGAGTGAAAACATATTTTTCCAGTTTTTCCAGACATTCTGCCAGTCCATATTTATCAAGCAAGTCGGATCTGGGGTATTCTAATCGATATAACATCGTTTTGGGTTTATTTTTACGAAAAATCTGAGCAGGAAATCGTAGGAAGTCATTTTTCTTTTTAATTAATACAAGCTCAGCTAAATTCGTGAATTTTCCTGGAAAAATACGGTTTATTAAAAATAAGGTATATTATTCCCCAATAAATAGGGATGTAAACCATCGATTTATAAAAGCAGTGCCAGAAAAACTTCACGTTTAGAAAAATATCGATAATTCAATAGCATACAATAGTAGAACAGGGACGCAAAGACCGAGAAACATGGAACAAAGAGAGGACGGCTGTCAAAGCTGCAGTGAGTCTAATAACAGGGCATTTTAAGCTTAATAATAGGCATCTAAAGCTATAAAGAAATGTGAGGATTTTATCAATCTGAAGGAGAAACGACAGAGAACATATTTTCTTGTTAATCAGTTGTTTGCTATTAGGGCGCAAAGGCACTGACCTAAAAACCCTCTAGGTCGCAGCCAAGCTAACCTAACCAAGCCTGGTCGTTGGCTGGTCTAAAAATATTATATATATTCTACTAAAATATTATTATTTTCTGCCGCTTTCTTCCAAATTAATAATTTTTCAGATAAAATCCCGCAAATTCAACGCAACATTTTCTATAAGACAACCACAACAACACAACGCTTTATTGCACAAAAAGCCAAAACAGCTTCATCGACAAAGCAAAACAAAAAAGCACAAAAACAAATATACAAATAAACAAGTAAAAATGTCATACAATACAAATGAATTCAAAAAAAAATTACGTCATAAAATTACAAATAAAACATATATGGACATTGCAGAACACAGGCGTATATAGAAAATTTTACAAAAGGAAAACCGTAAATGGATAAAATAATGTTATATATTATAAAATCAAGAGTTATAAAATATTAAATACTAGACCTTTAATCAGTGTGTGAGATGATCAAAATTTTAAAATTCAAAATTGTTCATGATTAAACATCAACAAAAAAGTCGTTTACCGCATATAGCGCTCTCTCCAGTAAGTATAATTTCAGAGCTTTGCGAAATGCGGGAAAGAATGAAAGTGACTTGATATTCGAAGGCAAATGATTGTACATTTTCCTGGCATTGTACAGTATTGAGCCCTTAACTAGTTCTGAGCTCGGGGTTGGCAGATAAATATCGTGCTCCGCATTCCTAAGTGGATAGTTGTGAGAAGGCCTTTCCGGAATAGAGAATATGTGCTTGCGGATTAAGCAAACGGATTCAAAAATGAATAAGGAAGAAAGAGTCAGTATTTTGAAATTTTTAAAGAAATT